CCACACAGATGAGGCAATTGAAAATACCAAGGCTTGGATCTGGCCCACCTTGGTCTTCAAAGTGACATCTTTGCTCTTTAACACTTCATAAAAGGTTTTTTGTTTTTTTTTGTTTTTTTTGCTGGAGATTTGTCTAGTGCGATATGACGTCTGATTTCTTGACTGCTGCTTCCATGGGTGTTGGTTGTGGATCCCAGTGAATGAAATCTCTGACAACTTCAGTCTTATCTCCATGATGTTGTTTATTGGTTCAGTTGTGAGGATTTTTGTTTTCTTTATGTTGAGGTGTAATCCATACTGAAAAGTATAGTCCTTGATCTTCATCAGTAAGTGATTCAAGTCATCTTCACTTTCAGCAAGCAAGGTTGTGTTATCTGCTAATCTGTTCATGAGTCTTCCTCCAATCCTGATGCCACATTTGTCATATAATCCAGCTTCTTGGATGGTGTTTCAATATTATGCCTAAAGTTTTCAGTGGCCAGTTTTTCCTGACAGGGATGGCCCCATTCTTCTTCCTACTCTGTCTTAGTCTGGAAGGTCCACTGAAATCTGTCCAACCTGGGTGACCCTGCTGGCATTTGAATTACTGGAGGTACAGCTTCCATCATCACAACAACACGCACACTACCACAATACGACAAACTGTCAGATGAGCAGCAGAATTCTATTAAAAGCATCAGAAATGAACATTTAAAGTATCACTTCATCAGTAGGTTATCACTAATTGCTGTTTATCTTACTACTGCAATCTTGATCATGCTTTGGTGAACCTTACATGAAAAAGGATATAACAGAGAATTGATTTTGCTAGATCTGTTCTAGTTTAAAAAAAGATGAAGCAATTAACAAGAGATAACAAACCTATCATGTTGATGTTTAGGTGACATCGAGTATATTTCAACTCATAGTGACCTCATGTGACAGGGTAGAACTGCCCCATAGAGTTTCCTGCGGTATAATCCTCATAAAATGAGCCTTGGTGGCATTGTGGTTAAGCTTTCGGTTGCTAACTAAAAGGTCCACAGATTGAACCTGAAAGCTGCCCCAAGGGAGAAAGATGTGCCAGTCTGCTTCCATAAGAAGTACAGCCTTGGAAACCCTATGGGGGGCCGTGCTATTCTGTTTTGTATATGTATGTTGTTGTTGTTGTTATGTGCCATCGAGTAGGACCCGACTCATAGCGACCCCTCCTTGGGTTTCCAAGACAGTATCACTATGGAAGTAGATTGCCCCATCTTCCTTCCGA